CCCTAGTAGCGTCCTTGCTCCTAGTAGCGATGCCAGGAGCCCCTAGTGACTTCTAGTTACTAGAAAGCTTTATTCTTACTATAGTAGCGATGGCCTCCACCGTGATTAGCTTTTACTAGAAGGCTTTATTACCAAGAAGCTTCAAAGACATACTAAAAAGCACGCTCTCCTGGATTGGTCAAAGTGCCCTCAGTCATGGTCTGTGGAGCATTCCACTCGATCTCCAAGCCAGAACACTTCGTCACCTTACCAGTGCAAGTGATTGGTGTGCCAATCACGCCGCCAACCATGCAAGACTTCAAGTCCAGGCTGTAAGTCTCTCCATCCAGAAAATGTTTACTCCAGAGGCTCAATGCACTGCCATCGCTACGTTGAAATTTCTCGGCTTTTTCTCGGGCCCAGCCACCTGCAGCTTGCAAAAGCTCGTCAACTCCTCCGTTGTACTCACCTTGCCTGGCCCACACATACAACTTGCAAGGAGCTTGATAGTAGATGGTCCAAGTACCGGCTTTTGGCCAGCACTTGCTGCCAATGTAGGAGCCACCAATGAGAACAGCAGGCACATTCTGGAAGCTGTGATCTTTCTCGCCTGGATTGGTTTGAGTGCCCTCGGCCATTTTCTCTGGGCCGTTCCACTCGACATCGAGACCTGTGCACTTGGTCACTGGGTCGAAGCAGTTGTCTCCGTCACCAGGAGTTACTGGGGGTGGCTTCGGTAAGGGAAAGGTGCCGATGACACCGCCGACGATCGGCCAACTGGTATGAAGGGCGTAGTACTTCTCATCCTCCTCAAGCCACTTGCTAAAAAGGAGCAATTCCTGGCTAGCGGCTAGCTCAAGCAGATGCGATTGTTTCACCAAGCAACAGCTGAACAAAAACTGCAAGATCTACTAGCCCAAAGAAGCAACGCCGGTAAGAGTCGATCAATTGTTTCCTACGATTCTGCAAATGTGATTTCAGGGCAACCACTGAACTGGCCACCTGGGCAACCCTCCTCCGAACTAGCTCTCAAACCCAAAAGCCACGGCACCCAACATGCATATTATATGTACGATAGGCATGCCTATGATGGCCAAGGGTCATGGCCATCACTGGTTTGAAAACCATCGGTTGGCTCGTGATCCCATCCCCGCTTGGGCAAAAACTCGTCCAAGGGCAGCATCCCAGTCTTTCCCTTCTGGAGCCAAACCTCAGTCCGTCTTCGGACATGGCACGAACGCACAGCCGACGTGACGAAAACCGCTAGCTTCATCGTTTCAAGACACATGGATGTCACAAGAATAATGATGTTCAACTCTAACAGGTGTTGCAGTGGAAAAAATAACAAATCATGGCTTCAATCATCTCACTCTTGCTGGTTCTCTTTTGTTCGCTCTTTCTTTCATCCTCTTCGTTCTTCCTCCGTTATAAAAATCATGCGTGGGGTTACTCCGATGCGCGCTGACTAGCTTGCGTGACTCTGAGGCACGTAGAGCTTGGTGGGTGGATAGTACTCCATCATCCAGGTGCCTGGCTCTGCCGTGGAGTTTTTGAGAGCGAAGAGGGTCTTCCCGTGCAAACACTTTGGCACGTTCACGAAGCGCGCCGAGGCCTTTCCTTCACCTGGAAGTCAAGGAAGGGCGACGAGGAAAAAACGGAAGTCAACAAGTCGACGCCGTCGACGCATCATTTTTTGTTTGGTCGATTCTATCATGGCCCTTTTAAAAAATGCAAGCACCCAGGATCAGCGAGTCGGTTCTATCAGTTTCTATCTGGATTTTCACTCAAAATCCTGGCATGGTCCGACCCCCGCCTGGATCTGTAAGAGTGCCCTCTTGCATGATCACCGGTGCATTCCATGTTCCCAGCCCTGTGCAGCCCAGCAATTCGCCACCGCTCTCGGCATCCTCATCTTCCTGCGGTCGGACAGCCGCATGGGACTGGGGTTGTTGATGGAAAATCCATCGACCTCGTTTTTAACCACCCCATCTTCATGAGATATAAAGATGCCATATAATTATATACATTGGAGTCATTGGAGTGTCTGGGAAGGAGTCCGTGTTGAGACTCAGATGCTGTTTTAGTCTGTTTTGCCATGTTTTACCTGACATAACTTGCGAGTTCGTCGCAGCTTGTGCCAATGGATATGTGCTTCACTCGGGGTCGTTCTGGGTCGCTCTGCGGGTCCTCGTTGTCATGGATCAAATCGTGATGAATTGGAGAATCCGGCTGCGCCGGCTTTTCTTCGTCCGCGGGAAGCTCATCAGTCTTCGCAACCAAATGCTTGTAAAAGTCACCTCGCGTGGAAGGCATCTGGTAGTTCATGACATTGCACTGTCCAAAAATGTACTGCCAATCCTCCCAGTCCATCCAGAACGTGCCTTCGGTTTGGAAATCCACTTTCAAAGCCTTTGCAATCTTTGGATGGGCCTTCCATTGAGCACTGCGATCACTCCATGGACCGTTCCATTCCGAATCGCTTCCCCAGGGGTTTCGACACGCCACAAGCTTCACATTATCGATCTCCACCGCGTGCAGAATGCTATACGCATGGCCATGAACCATGCCGCAATCAACTTCCGACTTGCATTGAGTGGCTGTGCATGCCATCAAATAATTCTCCTTGTCGTAGTTCTTGAGCTTCTCCCACATCTCATCAGGGTAAACATACCTCGCCCAAGGGTGCACGTGGATGTGCTATATTCCTTTTGAGAAAACATCCAAAACTGAGGGCAAACCTTCGACAAATGCAGTTGGGAAAAGAACTTGTTTGTTCACACACGTTAGACCGTTAGACGCCTGCTAAAGTGGTACTTGAAGCACGCGTCAGCACCTTTGCCCTCTTTGCCCACATCCCCTGTGATTGCCTCCATGACCTCAAAGGTGGAAACTCGGAAAGGCAGGAACTTTCCAACAGAATGATTGATGCGTTGCCGCACGGTTATCGACTGCCACTGCTAGGAAGGAAGACTGGGGCCTTCGAGTAATCAAGTGGAATGTTGTTGAGATTTGAGGAACATCCATGTCGAATTGAGGAGATTTCAGCACCGTTGCCCATCAAAACTGCCTGTCAAATTCCATCATCTCAAAGATCAAAGAGCTTGATGTAATTCTATATATATATATAATTATATATATGTGCATGATTGTGTGAAGAGCAAAGCAGGCAAGAAAGGCCCTGCTTTCAGAGAGTAGTTGTCTTGCCTGCTGATTTCACAGGGTTGTCACAGTCGCCTCTTCTCCCGAGGAAACGAACAAACTCCGCAGGTGCAATGCGCTGAAACCGCGATTCAAAAGAAATTGTTGGACAGCTGGACGTGTTCTAATCGAAGTCATTCGTTGAACGGTGTTCCGGTGTTCAAACATCAGAACCGGCGCATGTTAAGTAGATATCTTATATCACACATCATTTCAGGAAGGCACATCAGCGACGTTCCACAACAAACACTTCAATCTTCAAAGACTCGCCCCGAAGGTTCTGCTCACATCTTCGCAATGACTTCTCTTCGGCGGGAAAACAAAACTCCCCTTTGCTTCTCTGCGTCAGATTTAGCAAATCAGAACTTTACTGTAAACATCTGTAAACCAAAGTGGCCACCAATGCGAAACATACAACACAAGATGTAGCGAGCATAGCATCCAATGATCTTCAAAACGCCTCTTTGCGAATTGAACTGTCTCAGGAGATGCCACAATTACGTTACGTTAAGTCCCGCGACATTAGTGCTTTGTTGTGTTTGCCTAGCTGCTTGTTTAATTGCTCCATTTATTTGGCACCTGGAATGGATCCCACTTCCTGAGCATCTCCAAGCCTCTCACCTCTTCCTATATCTCCCTATCTTTGCTATCCCAACACGTGCAAAGAACAGAGTCACTGTCAAAGTCCCTAAAATTGTTGTTTGGGTCGTGTAGGAAGTTCTTTGTCACTGAAGCTCTTATCACCCAAAACCATGGGGTTACTTGAGGCCCTCACATTGTTCCAACGTCGCGCCGCGCATGCAAGCTCCGACCATGGTTGCACCCTCTAATTTGCAATATGGAATAGACATGGCATGACATGGCCAAAAGAGGAGAACTCGCATCTACCCAATTCTGAGGGAGAGCCAACATATTAATGTGCCTTGATTTTCTATACAGAATTATTAGCGGCCACGCTGCCACGATTTGCTGTAGGCAGGAAAGCAAAGGTATCCCAACTAGTCTTGTTCACGTACCACTATGGTATAGACATCAACAACTTCCATCCCAGAGCGACAGAGCGAAGAAGTACGTACGCCCGGCTGCTCCGAACGGTTCAGCACAGTTTCGAACGGTTCACGTCCGTTCAACAAGAAATTGATGTAGCTGAATGCAATCAAGCAAGTACACGTGTATAGCCTATAGCTGCTTAAGCTCATCACTTGGCGTGGATCGATGGACACCCGCCAGGACATGAAACGGAAGTGTTCTTCCGGATCACGCTTCGCCACGCGCTCGCCGCCCTGACCGTCGTAATAGGAAAGCCAGCCGGTCTCGGGCCCGCTGCCCGTCAACTTTTTGAACCTCGGCTGCGCTGCACCGGGTCTCCGCGTTGTTTTGGAACAGCAAAGGCCCCGCTGAAGAGCCGTGGCATTTGTGGATCCTTTTCGTGTCCCACACGGTGTGAAATGCCTTTCTTAGGGCATGAAACAGGAGTTGCCTGTGGTTTTCTGTGAATATCTTTGGCTCTAAATGTGCATATTTGGCCATGCGGTTCCAGCCCTAGAATTCGATCAGACTTGAGGAGATTTGAAGCACTTTACGCCCAAACACTTGATCCAGCTGCCGATCCGCTGCGTCTCATGAAAATGGGTACCCCAAGCCAACGCACCCAGCTTCTCGCTTCGCCTCTTGTCCTAAGTGCCCAAGCTACTCAACAACTCATAGACCTTCAAAATTAGCGGTCTACAGTCGGATCGTTTCTACTGAGGGGTCGTCTTTGGTTTTCCGGCTTCGTTTTCTAGGGAATTGATTGCACCAGTTAGGCTACTATGCTCTGTTTGTTCACCAGGTGAGTTAGATAGTTAGATTACCACTGGACCTTTACAATGTGAATAAGTACAGCAAAGGAACTTCTTGAAAAGCCCTACCAGTACAGCAAAGGAACTTCTTACAGTACGGGGCAGTTGGGCCAGGGTCTACAAACGACACTTTTTCATGGATTTTGGCTTCGTTTGGGGCTTCGTTTTGAGACACCACACTCCAAACCCTCAAGAAAAAGATCATCGAAAGCAACCGCTCTGCAAAAAACAAGAACGCTGCGATCCGAGGGCTTCCCAGCTTCAACTATCTAGCTTCAACTTCGGAAAGTCACAGGCAACTAGACACGGACGAGCCTCAGTGTGGCTTTTACAATGTGAAGTACAGCAAAGTGCACTACCCCTTCATCTTCACTGAGCCCAGTAAGTCTCAAAAAGGATACACATCCAAATCTCCCACCAAGAGGCATCGTTTTCTTCGTTTTTCCAAGGAATGTGCAAGATCTCACACCAAATGATCCATCTTTTTAACAAACTGAACGCTAGGTTTTTTGGGGTGGCTCATACGCTCCCCTGCTCCCCGTGTTATCCATCCTCCGGAGAAAAAAAAACAGCACCTGCCAGCACCCAAACCTCATCCCACATTAATTTTACATGTTAAAACGATACAGTAGATTGAGAGTAGATGGCACAGACCCCGAGTGGTGGTTTATATGAAGCCCCATGTACTTAACATCTTGAGGTCTGTGCCATCTACTCTGAAACCGTAGTAACAAGAAGCTATTAGTAACAAGTGCATCGCTTCTAGTAACAAGTGCCTTACTAGTAGTAACAAGAAGCTATTAGTAACAAGTGCATCGCTTCTAGTAACAAGTGCCTTACTAGTAGTAACAAGAAGCTATTAGTAACATAGATTCAACGGACGATTCCTTTCGAGTCCCAGTGTCCGAATAGACCGGAAGACCTTCTCTGGAGGTCACGACCCACCTGACGGCGACGGTGTAGGTGGCTTTGTAGCGGAAGAACTCCTTGCAACCGGTGAGGTGGTGCCACGCGACAGGCTGGAAGCCTGCAGTGAGTGCTGAATAGCTGCCATAGAGCTTGGCAAAGGCTTTTTCCAGCAGCGCCATGCAGACCTTCCCATCATTGATCTTCCCGAAAATGAGTTCGGGCTTGAAACCGCCGTAGTGTGAGCAAGGCAAATAGTCATCAATCTCCATGATGGTCCACCGAAGGAGCCGGCCGTCATAGAGTTTGATCCGATACTTCCCACTCTCGGAGACCTGGTCACCAAAGCAATGTTGAGATGAGATGAGATGAGATGGATGTTCCATGATGTTCCTACATCGTCATCTTACTTCGCAAAGAAAGTATAATGCTTAGTGGCTGAACAGGTTTGTGAAACTCTTTTGGATCGATTCGTTGAAGAGATATCCAAACCTTGGATCGTACTACTGCCTTCAAGCCTGTGCTTGATGAAGGCTAAATAGAGGGTGTGTGGAGAAAGGGGGTAGCAAAAAGTGCCTCTACCAAGTTAGTGCATCAAAAATACATAAAAATACCTTCTACGAAGTCCTGCGAAGGTTTCTGGGACTTTCTTGCAGTCAGTTTTCCTACTGGCGAATAGTCCCGGGTTACACGAATGTCCCGCGCCTTCCAGGATGTTAGTAATGTTTGCAAAACTCTTTCTGTGCACTACCCTTCCGTTTGCCTCTGACTTAAATGCAACTTTTTAGCAGAATAGGACGCATGATGTCAGCAAATTGATGTTCAGCATGTAACATGCAGTCTAAGGCTGTTTGAATCTGCTTGATCGGACAAACCATGCTACTTTTGCAGATCTGATCAAAGCGCCTTCAAACACGCCACCTGATCGTGGGTCAAAATCCAGAGCCGCAAACCCTAGTACGTTGACCTCCCCTGTAGTCACTGCAGTCTATTCTGTTCACGGTCATGCCAAATTCCAGCAAACGTGGCTCAAACGCGCAGCATAAGCAGCCACACCGACGACAGGTCAGCGACAAAGTCGCCGCCGTTGTTAAACACAGGACTTGAATTTGAGACGCGGTGTTTTAAGCGCGGAGGGAGGATGACGGTGATTATCTATTTTCAACATGGTTCTTTTGGTGTGTTCGTGTTGGGAGAGTTCTTTTTGGGAACCTGCTTGGACAGACATGACAAAACCATACTTAGCATGGAGATGACTGCCAATCGGCTAAGTGGTGTCTGCAAGCTGAAGGTCGTAGCACTCCAAGAGCACCCATGGGATGCATACTTGTAGCATCAAAAAACGTCTAAATTCTAAATCATTCTAGCACTGGGATTGCTCTCGGAGCTAGAAGACTCCAAGAATACCATTCAACGTCTATTCGCTTCGCAGACTGGAAAACGACGGCTGAGATCTCAGAAAGAACACGCCTGTGTCCAAAAGCCCGCACTAAACAACCGCTCAAGAACTCCATCCCAAGCGTCAAACAGAGTTATATATACAATGTCAAAGCCAAAGCCTCTTCAAAACCGCCAGCTCAAGCACAAGCACAGCTCAAGCACAGCCTTCTTGGTAATGAAGACCTGCTTTTTGAAGTACGAGGGGTACTCTGCCAGGGCCGAGAGTGCCGCAATGAGCCAGCAGTTGCCAACGCGCCCCTGACAAGCATCCGCCGGTTCCACGTCTGCGAAGAGCACCGGGTTCGGGTGCAGGGCAAGTGCTCGAAGCCAGCGGGGCTCACCGAAGGAGGTGACCTTTTTCCTGGGTTCGAGCGAAGGTGGTCGACCCCCGAAGGGTCAACCCACGGTGTCGACGTGTCAAAACGCGATGCTCTTCGATCAGTCTTGAGGTCAAAACATGATGCTAGGCTATGGTCATATGACGGTTTTCAGGATGGTTTTGGCCATGTAAGTCCCAGTACATCTAAGTCTTCAACCAACACCCACAGAAGCAACCTTGAACTCTCATCAGAAAGCGGAGACCCAATTTCGTCAGGCGGCCCTATGGATGTCTCGTTGTGAGGAAAGTCCTTATCCTTCCAGCCATCGGGAATGCTAGGGTTCAGCCTCAAAGTACCACCCATGGTGTTGGGAACCTCAGATCGACGCGACAAGGGACTTACCGACTTACCTCCCGCACCGCTGAGGGCGGGGGAGTCACTTGCACATCGACTTTAGGATCACTTGCGCATCACAGGATCACTTACGCATCGACAAGTGAATCACTTGCGCATCGATGGCAATAATGGTGGGATCTAATGGAATGATTGGCCCATGTCCACATCAACACATCCGACATCCGTGCACACCCGACACACAGAGTTCTCTATGATCTTAGGATGGCCTACACATTATAGTAGCTTACCCTTTAGTAGCTTTAGTGGCCGCACATTGCATGTTGCGCTCAACGAAAACCCGACGCACAAGCGATCCAAAACCCGACGCACAAGCGAACCCCCGCCCGCATGAGGACACTCCCTGTCAGGCACCGTTTGACAGCATGTTTCCATCTTCAGGCCCCACAAAATATCGATTTTGACTCGTCTTGATTCAAGAAATTCACAAAAAAGCTGCAACATATGTTCAAGGCCTTCAATAACACTGTGTTTGAATTCCGCCTTTTGCCAGGACATTCATGTTTGTTTTTCTGATGATTTCTGCATGTTTTTTTCACAGGTATTTCAATTTACTGTAGTCGTTTATGCACGATGAAAACCCTGAAGCATGTTCAAATCCTCTTGAATAAACGTAGTTTTTGTCTCTCTAGATTCCTGATGTGGAAAATGTCCGGCAGCAAACCAATAACATGTCCGTGGCAAAACGTTGATTTCCGCCTCAGGACCGCCGCTTTTCCCCCAAAAAATGCAAGCATTTTTGCCAAAAGGAGAACAACAAGGAACTTCAAGGTATAGTTACCAAACTGCCCCCTGTGCACCTGGAGGCATGGACTGGGGGTGAGCAAAAGCTGATAGTACCAAAATGGCCACTCACCCACCACAGTAATGCCTTCATATGTTCAAATCTTCACACTCGAGGCTGCATGTTCTTACAGCTCTAGTCTAGAGCCTTAGTGTACCTGTAGTTCTCCACCCCCATCATTTGTGAGCATGTTCAGTTGGATCTGAACAAAGGAGGAGGCAACTCCATCAGTGTCCACCGCGACCACATCGATCTTCCCACCATCGGTCTCGTCCATCCAAACGGTCAGCTGAGGGGAGGGCACGTCGGTGATCCTGCAGAAGCCAGCAAAGCTAGCCAAGCAAATCTGGTGTTCAATGATTTCATCCATATCATCACATCTCCTATCAGGTTTTCCCATGACAAACATCATCCCCATGATGCAAAGGTGTTTTATTGATTACATAAATGAGCACCGTGAGTGACCTTTTTTGCATTCATCTGCGAACATATTAATTATAAGTGATTCTTTGTCATTGTTAAGGGCACGCGTCATTCTTGAGTGGTTTTTAGGAGGGGTCTTTCCCGTGCGGCTCAGGGTGTCACGCCCGCAATCAAATAGTACAGGCGACCAAGGTCTTGACCAGGTCGTAGATGATGACTGGACCTTTCTTTGTAAAGCCCTTCTTTGGCATTCTTAGTTGTCTTGTTGCCCTCTGGGCGAATACTACACCTGACCTCATGACTTCAAGAATGTGTTTGAAACAATAACCCTCGACCATTCCGGGAAAAGTGTTTCCAAAACATTATGTTGGCGCATGTCTCCCGGTTCTTCCAGAATGGGAGACTCTTCGGGTGACTCGTTTCCGCTCCTCGAAGCATTGAGGAACACCGAGGTCGACGCTCCAGCGGCGCTTCCCAGTTCTCTTCCGCGCTTCCAGCGGCTCTCAGCGGATTCGTAGAAGATCCACGTGTTGCCCCAGTCTTCACCTTTGGACTGTCGGTACACCGCACGTTCACCCAGAACCTTCTCCACCTTCCTCAGCAACTGCGGAGCAAATGGTTTCACGACTGGTCAGGGAAGCTTCGGTCATAACGAGTCATTGTTCCAGCAAATATACGATTTTTGTGTCTTGAAAGCCGTGGTCTGAACTGTCAAAGGCGCTTGTAGTAAAGCTCATCGAATTTGATGCAATCTTCGGCTTTGGCGAGCTGCTCTTCTTGGGTCAACTCCGGGATCGCAGAGCACACCATCTGGCTTTCAAGCGCAAAGCCCTTCTTACCTTACTCAGGAGGGTCAAGAGCGAAGCGAAATCAATGGAGAAAAACTACTGCGCAGCGAGCGGGGCTAAAAGTCGCCAAGCAAAAGCATGAAAACACCGTTTGGGGAAAATGCGGTTGACGTGGCTTAACTACAGTGCAACTATCTGCAAGTGATGTTTCCAAGCCTTGTGCTTACAATTACACGATCTTGAAGAAAACCCTCAGCCTTTGACATCAAAGGCTTGGACAAAGACTTGGTCTCTTGGAAGCTACCTTTTGCGCTGTTTTTCCAAACAGCCCATTGAACACCTTCTCCTGGCATGTGGGCGGTCCGCTTGGTCTTCAAGCAGCAAGAGGCTTTGGTGCCGGTGCGCCGGAAGATCTGCCATTGACCCCTGCAACACACGCACGACTTACCCCCAAACGGGATGAAAAAAGAACGAAACCAGTTCAAAATGTTGTTCAAAAACGCCAAACAGGTTCAAATTGTTTCTTCTTCCAAGATTGGCCGCCCAGCAGCACGCCAAGCACACGCCGGGAACGGCTTTTTGAGGCGGCTGCCGAGAAACTCAGACCTTTTGTTCGGTAAGGAACCGATTATTTTCATTACACCTGAGAGGCAGCCCTCACAAACGCTTAGAGCAACGTGCTCCAGTCAAGAAGCTCCAACAAGCGATCTGACAGTCCCCAACACTCCCGCACAGACCCCACGAATCTGCCAGTTGTCCAATGAACCCGCTTTTCGGTGGTGCCCTCCTTTCCCCCAAGATGGCCTCCAAACAATGCGCAAAAGGGCAGCAACAAAAACTCCTCCTTAAGGTATTCTGGGGGGACATGGTGCTAGAACCCACTTTTCCAAAGATGCCCTATTGTGCGAGATGGCCCCAAACAAAGCGCAGAAGGGCACCAACCCAGAAATGTGGTTTAAGGGCTTTTCTTCGGCTCTCTGCATCTAGATCAGAAAAAAATCTGTTCAATCCTTTCACACACGGCTCGACTTCACGCAGGGCTCGACTCCACGAACTAAAACGAAAAACAGTGTAAATCCTAATAAGTCATAATATGTTACCATACTAGAACAAACAAATTTGCCAAAGCACATCAAAACACGCCAGCCCCGTTGATGGTGCAAAAAATGCCATCATGTATGCCCTTCATAAGTTGACCTGGTGCTTCTATGCGGACTTGCTCGAAGCTTGGAAAAAGCTGTGTGCATAAGTGATCAAATCTGATAGAATCAGACCGGGTCTGTGAGGTAGATCTCCCACACCGACAATTACAGTTAGCATGCGGGAAGCGCACGTATCCCAATCTCACCCCCTTTGGGCAGCCCAAGCAGACAAAAGCTCGCCAATTCGCGATGCAAAAAATGCTACAAGTAGTATCAACTTCAACCGTTGCGGCATCACTCGCATCACAGAGGCAATCATTTTGTTCCCCTTTATTTTGCTTTCCCCAAGTAGGCTCTGCGTTCACCCTAGAGTGTGCAACTACATCCTCCTTTGCAAAATGGCGAAGCCACTGGACTGTGCAGCCAGCCTACAATGATTTTGCTTGCAACCTCCCGCCTCTCACCATGGTAGAAAAGGTACATCTTGGTCTGCAAGCAATGGAATATGGGCCTGCGATAATAGAATTGTCCTTCCTCTTGAATGTAGTCACCATTAAATTGCGTTCGGGAGCAACCTGGGTGGCCGACAAAGTGAAGAAAGCCAGGCGCCACATTTGTCGAAAACGCGCTCGGCAAGTGGCCCCAGGCTCAGCTATCAACCGCAAGCACCAAAAAAAGAACATGAAGTATCATGAGCGCCGATGGTGTGCATCCGAGCTGCCAGAAATACGCAACATGTACTTTCCATGCAAACCCTGGGAGATTTCCTTGTCTTCTGCGAACACCCATTTCACAAACTCCTCGCACTGGTTTGAAGAACATGACTTCGCAGCGAACATTGTTGCTTTGGATGCGAGAAACGACGATGACAGCGCTTTGCAGGTTAGCATTCCTTAGACGAACCAAGAACAAACACCATAACTCTTCCCACATCGTTGAAATATATAATATAGAAGCAAAATGCTCCGGTCGGGTCGGTGAAGTCAGACCAACCGACCTTGTTGAGTAGGCAGCAGTTCTTCACCGGCGAGTTGCGCGGTCGGTTTTTCCGGTTTTCGCATCGATGAGGATCGGCCGTGCGATCGGCCGACGCGAAGTCGAACCGGAACCCGGGTTCCGGGGAGCGGACCCGAAGCAATCCCGGTTTTGAGGGACCTGGTGACGCTGTGAACGGAGCATTTGGAGGGAGAGATTGGTCTGGTGACGAATGGGCCCAGTAGTTTGGGGGCCATCTGATTGAACATCAACCCCCCACAACAAGCACTACACCTCTAACCAAATGCTGCTGCTGAAGCTGCTGTTGTTGGTCTTAGGAGTTGTTCGATGCTGATCACTGGAGTCTTGCAGTGTTGTAATGCCGGCGTATCACTGCCGTATGTTCAATTCAATTGCTTCAACTCCCTGAACAACAAATCATCAAAGCCACCCAAAAGGTCAAAAAGTCGGGATTGAGACATAATGAATCAAAACAGCACGAAATGAAACAACTATATAAATGAAATTTGCACTCCTTCCAAGTCCTTCTACTGTTGTCAACCGTATGTCTCCTTTCTGCCGCGGAAAAACCACACGGCACCGGTGCGCCGTCTCCTGGACTTGCAGCTCTCCATCGCCGCTGGAATCGGCAGCAGCCAGGAGCTGATCGATGTCTTCGTCGTGGAAGCCTTCGAATCCTTCGGCAGGTTTCAATTCCAAGAGCACCTGGCAATTTTGGCAACACATTTATTAGAATGAATAGAACACAATGACAATAATATATATGATGCGTGGTATTGCGTGGTGGCGGGTTAGGTGTTTTTTCACGTGGAGCAACATGTCGAACATGATATGTGAACATGTATTTTAAAGTAATAGTTTTACATTTCTTTCCAAGGTTGACTCTCGTAGCTACGGTGGTCCGCACACAATCCCTTTTTTCTCAGTCATCTTGCCAGTATGGTCTTCAACCTGCCATGTCCAGCAGGATAATTGCGTTGGGTTACCTGCATCAGCAGGCCTGACACAATCAGACCCTTGTGGTATCCTTCCGGTCACTCCGGAAACCACTCCC